GAGCAATTGAAACCCCTCTGGAGCACAGCTGTACCCTGACAGGCACAGAATCCCCGGAGTCAAATCTACTCCATTCATATGGAGCCGGGGCCTGCTGAGACCTCAGGAGTTACATCCTGTGTGCCAAATAAGGAGGAAATAAGTGTAGCTGCCACGTAAATGGAGGCTGCTGAGCGCCTCAGCATTGTGACTTGGGAAGGTCACTGGTTTGAAAAGATACGGGACTGAAGGAAATAGTGGTTGTCTTTCTTTTATTAGCTCAACTCTTTGGGCAAGAATGGTCTGTTCCACTTAAAAAAAAAAGAGATTGCACAGCTCTTCTTAATATGATTGAACTATTGAAATATATGGTAAGTGAATTATATGCCAAGTAAACTGTCTTACATATATATGTGTGTGTGTGTGTGTGTGTGTGTGTGTGTGTATATACACACACACACACACAAAAGAAAAAAGTCTTTGGAAATTTCACCTCTCAGACACAAATGCCACTAACTTTTTTTGCTGAATATCTTTCTATATACTTCTCTTCAAATATATACTTAGACAGATACGTCCAATTTTATATCAATCTTCACTTTGAACTTTGAGTTGCCTGGGAAATAATTCAAATAGCAATGTCCAGAAATGAATTGAGTATAGCAATTTTGAGGTCAAGAGAGCTGTAGTCTTAAGAGCCATCATCCTGCAAGGTGTGTACCAATCAGGAGGCAGAAAATTCCACCAGGCAGAGGTTTGGAGGAGAAGAGGCGAGAGCCAAACACAGTGCACCAGAAACTCAAACACAGCCAGACCAGGTGGAAACTGAGAAGGAGCAGCCAATGGGGTGGGAGGAAGAAACCAGGAGAGTTCTTGGCCTTCAAGCAAGAGGAGAGGTCAACAGTGTACAATACTAGCATCAGATCAAAGCAAGAGGGCCTCGGGTTTAGCACTCCGGAGGTGGCCTCTGGGGAGGAGTGGTTTCAGTCTGTGGGAGGGTAGAAGCCAGAATGCAAAAGAGCTGAGGTGAAAAAGGAGGCAGCCTCCCTGCCTGCCCCCCTCACGATCCCTCACCCCTCCGAAGAGCTTCTCCAATTCCAATGGGCATATACGTAAATCACCTGGGCAAATGATTAAATGCAGCTCTGACTTATTAGGTTGGACGTAAACCCTGAAAGTCTACATTTCCAACAAACTCCCTTGTGATTTCAATACTACTGTACATGTGGTACACTTGAAATAGCAAGTACTCCTGTGGGGGCATGAACTTGTTTATGTGACCTTTGTTCTTCACACACACAAACAGTTTGAGAGATTCCCACCCCGTCCCCCAGGCCCCCCAAACCCCAAGGAGTTACTTGTGCTCTGATTTTCTACTCCAGAGGAATTAACTAACTTTTGTACAGACTGACCTTTCCTGGGCAAGCCTTAAATAATTTGATGGTTTGATCCTTTTTTGTCTGGCCCTGGGCTGCAGCCTGTGCTGTGATTGGTGCACACCTTGCAGGGATTGGTCAATATACTAAGCAAACGAAGTGACTGTAGACCATGCAAATGAAAGGATTGGTCATCATGTGGCCCTGCTGAGAGGATCCGGCTTTGAAATTGATGAGGGGTTTGCTTATAGATGCTGCCTGCTCCACACTGGGCAAGAAGAAAGGAGAAGCAAGCAACTGGGATTGCTGAACCAAGCTGCTATGTTGGTTGTGAGCTGGGTCACTTAGCAGCAGGAGGCCAGAGGCAGGGAGGTGGAAGACAGAGATCTGCAGGCTCTCCACGAGCAAGAGGAAGCCTGTCATGGAATATGCAAAACAGACCAAAGCACTGCGTGGTCCTGTGCCCACTTCACAATTTTTCCTATGCTTGAGCCCCTTGTTTCAGCCACTGTATAAACCATCTTGCCAAAGGCCTTCCTTTTTTTGGCTGCCCTTCTGCTTTACCAAGCATCATGTCCCTCTCCAGGGACTGGTCTCTGTTGACAGTACATACATAAGATGACGTGTCGTCATCCTTGCCTCTAAGGAGCATTCAGACAGTACTTCTTCCAAGACAGATTTGCTTGTCCTTTGGGAAGTTCATGGCACTTTCAATCTTCTCCACCAGCAACACAATGCCACCATTTGTCTGTCAGTTGGTCATACTGTGGTGGCTTGTGTGTGGCTGTGATGCTGGAAGCTCTGTCATTGGTATTTGTGTTAGACAGGGTTCTCTAGAGAGATAAAACCAAATTCCTGATAATATAATATATTTATTTATAAGGATAATTAGATATACAACGAGAAATGAACTGTTAAATCATATACAGATAAATATACAATACAAGAAATAAACAGTTAAATTATAAGCACTATAAATGGCTTAGTGCAACTCACGTCCCTGAGAGAAAGTTGAGAGACTAGCAGTCCTTCAAGTCTCTATCTGATGCCAGATCTTCCTCTATTTGTAGAGAGAGCTAGGTTATGTCAGCACAGCAGCCAATCACAAGGCAGGTCACCAATCGCCAGTCCCCAGCTCCAGAGAAGTCTTAAAGGGACCTCAACTTACAGCAACACAGTCCACAGGCTAGGCGTCCCACAGGCAGTGTAGCCTTTAAATTGAAGCACAGAACAAGCAAGGCAGCCGCACACTGGTTCGATGATCACAGAGCGAGAGACAAGAAAGGCAAGGCTCACCAAGCCATCCATCTCTCCGCCCCTCAGTCAATCCCACCTGCGTTTATCAGCCAGGCTGACACAATAAACTATCTCAGTATTTAAATGTCAGCAGGGTCACCTACATTGAACAGGTTTCAGGGGAGCTTACAGACTAAGAATAGACTATGAAGAAGGAATTGACTGCCCACTTCATAGGAAGGAGCCACTGAAAATCTGATGCATAGCATGGAATTACAGTTAGAAGGGCCATGTTACTGGACTACACAGCAAGTATTCACATAATCTGTCTTGTGGCAAGTATTTGATTTGGTTTTAAATTCAGGGAAGGTAAAGACTATCTTATTTCTTTTAGATCAACTTTATTGAGATATAATTTACATGCCATGAGATTCAACTCTTTTCAAGTGCATCATTCACTGGATCTCACTCTTGGAAACATACTGGCATCGCCCAGAATGCTTTCTAAACTCCTGCTGCCTGGCTTTCACCTCCAAAGATCCTCACTTCCTTGTTTGGGGATGCAGTCTGGGTATTGGGATTTTTAAAGGTCCTGGCATGATTTTAACTTACGGTCAGGGTTGAGAACCACTCTCCTCTAGTGTTGTGTGCATAGCAGGCCCTCCAGGACTATTTGTTGCAACCATCGATTAGCCCGAGTTTTTAATAACTAGTCAATTAACTCACCCCAGATCATCTGTCAAGGAACTCTGGTAGTGTAGTGGGATGCACATTGAGCTGCTAACCACAAAGTCAGCGGTTCAAACCTACCAGCCACAATACAGGAGGAAGATGAGGCTCTCTACTGTAAAGATATTCAGTTTCTGAAAGCCCCAGGAGCAGTCCTACTCTGTCCTATTGGGTCTCCATGAGCCAGCATTGACTATGGCAGTGAAATAGCTGCCATTAGATCTCCCTTAAAGCCTTCAACTGGTACCTCAAAATTGCCAGCTAAGTCTGTCTCTCCGACTGTGTGCAAAGCGGGCTTGGAGACAAAAGCATTCTGGAATCTACCAAGATATGCAGATTTCAGTTGAAGTGAATCACCACATCAGAAAACAAAATAGGTATTGAAATGGAAAGATTTACATTTGTTTCTGCCAACATGGATGCGACCCTCATATATGGGGAGATGTCACCAAGTGGTGCTATTTCCCTGACTTCTGCCTTCAAAAGTCAGTGATAAACGGTTTTCATTAAGGATTCACTAAAATATCGGGGAAGCTCTAGGTTTCATTCATCTTGGAGACATAAAGGCGTAGTTCTGTGACGTTTGCTAACCTCGCGGGGGGCGGGGGGGTGGTGGCGTTTATCTTATTTTGCATCTTCCTTTCTGAAGGACTTGCAGAGAAGTCTTGTTTTCGCTTCCAAAGTTGGGAACTGCTCAAAGGCAGAGATCCTTCCGGTCTTGTACATTATGGCGTTCTCGTGGTGACGGGTTAGGTGTTCAAGAAATACTGGTGGAATGGATGTGACCACAGTTTGTACAAATGCTTTTTACTGGGTGAAGGGCTACAACCCGTTTCCCATTTTGATCCTCTTTGCAATTCCTAATTATGGCACTATGAACTGGGGCCCTCTCCAAGCTGCGTGGGCTACCACAAACTCAGAAGGGGCTTTTATTTTACCTCATTGGTTGTGGAGGGTAAAGGAGGGATCCGAGAGTGTAAAGCCTCACCCTTTACAAGGTTGGTCACTCCCAGATGAATGAATATAAGATGCATGCGTCTGGGAGGAGTCCCAGAGAGAAGCAGTTCTTATAACCCCACTTAACACCCGCCACTGACACCTTCTCCTCCCTGCCTGATCTTGGGAGTCCCGCACGGACATCAGGGCCGCGCCCCCTGAACCCCAGCAACAGGATTCCCAGCGAGAGGGTTACGCCCCAGGTCGCAAAGCCCAGCAATTCGAGAATCAAGACGACGTCAAGTCAATCACATCAAGAAGAGCCAGCGTCATTTAAGCAGCAGGCTACTCCCCCAGTGCCTCCACCCTGTCCCTTGGGCCCAGCGCTTAGACGGTGCCGGGCTCCCAGAGCCCCAGCTCCCTCCACGTGTCCTCTCTTCCCAGCAGCCACCTCTGCCGCCTGGGGAGGAAAACCTCCTGACAACTCGCGGTCTTTGGACTACGACTTCCAGCAGGCATCGCGCCGCTTCGCACTCCGCCCCCTCCACGGGACGCGCAGGCGCTCTGGGCTCCGTCAACAAGCCTGGTTGGCGTCGACTGGTTGAAGTGCCTGACGGGATTTGTAGTCTTTCTGACGCCAGCTGGGCCAGCATCGAAGTAACGAGAACTACAAGTCTCGGCGGCCTCAGCGTGACGAGCCGTCACGTGGCAGGGGGCCGACCGGGCGTGCGTGCGCCGTTGATCCGGTGCTGCAGTGAGGAGGTGGATCTCGCCCGTGTTGTGTGTGTGAGTGAGAGAGCGAGTGAGTGAGTGAGTGTGTGTGTGAGTGTGTGAGTGTGTGTGTGGGGACGCGGCTTGTTGTTGTCGGTGACTTCCCCCTCCCCTCCCCCCTTCCCCGCCGCCGCTGCAGTGGCCGCTCCCTGGGCCGTAGGAAATGAGCGATAACGATGACATCGAGGTGGAGAGCGACGTGAGTCCCGGGGCTTCTTCCTTCCCGTGTGGGTTGTCAGGCGGGGACAGCGGCCGGGACACTGCGGGGCGACGGCGGGAGGGGGCCGGGCTGCCGCCGCCGCCGCCTCCTTCCGCTTCTCCTCTTCTCGAGCTCCCTGCCCTTCCCTTCCCGGCTTCTGACCGGAGCGGCCTCCTGGGACTGAAGGTGGGGAGGAGACATGCGGCTTCTGGGACCCTCACCTCCCCGGTGACGGAGGGTGCTGCAGCTGGCCGCTCCCACCCTATTTCGCTTACGATCCGGGGGCGGGGGGGGACGGGGGGGGGCGGGCAGGGATGGGATGCGCCCGGGATTCTATTGTCCGGATCCTGGGGAAGAGGCCGACGCTCAGGACCTGCCCTCTGCTTCCGAGACCCTCTTTTCTCAAAACACCCGCGCATCCGGGGCGGGGGGAGGCGGAGAGGTTTGGGGAACGTGCAGAAACCCCGAATTGGGTCCATGGGGAGGCGACTGTGCTCCGGACCCCTCCGTCGCCCGTCAGGTCCGGAAGGAGGGGCGGTGCTCGGGACCCTTCTGCCCCCCAGCCGAATCCCGCTGGGGGATGGGGAGGGGGAGGTCCAGTTGACTCCCCACCCGCCGTTTCCTCCACTGCCGGCGTTTTCTTTCTAATTACTGAATTTGAAGTGTAGAAATAACTTCTATATTTTTTACTTTATTTTTCTCTTATTTCAGGAAGAGCAACCGAGCTTTCATTCAGCGGTATGTCTCCTACTCTCCATTTCGTTTTCATTTCCGTTCAGTTCTAGTACTTTGAGGGACAGAGCTCATTCGATTTAACTATTGTAGTAAACTCCTGTTATCCGATAAGGTGAGGTGAGTGAGATCTGTGTTCTGGGGGGCTAGATGTTGAGGGAGGGTCGCAATTCTCAATTCTAGATTCCCAAGTGATAGGAACCTGGGACTGTAAATGGGAGGAGCTGTATGCAAATAAAGGGATTGTTTTCAGGCAGGGAACTAGCCTCCAGTAAATATATGCAGGAAATGAGAAGTGCCGTGCTGAAGTACATAGTGGTATCATTTTAGGGTCATGTGGCCAGAAGATTCAAACAAGTGGCTTCTCAATTTAGTGTGTATGAAGCTGAAGCCACATGGAAATCACCTTTCACCAAAAGTCATGTGACTTCTGTAGACTCATGAAGAATCTGGCACATGAGACCAATGCAGGCATTGGAAGTGTAGAGGAGCCAAAGGTTGAATGTGAGGGTGTCCTGTGCAGCTTGTTGTGGCTTGGTTATATTTGCATTGAAGCCAGGTGTTAAAAAGTAGGAAAACTGTTGGAAAAGTGGCTTTGGGGAGACAGGTTTGCTAGGAAGTGATGGTTGAGTAACACACAGTGTTATCAGTCATTGCTCAGGGTTTTGATAGAGAGGGTTCCGTGAATTTGATATACACTAATCTCAGTCTTTGGAGACAGAGCCAGTACTGTAAAGTTAGTGTGAATAATGGAGGAAACAAATGAGTGGACAGAAACCAAATCAGAATCTGAGAAGTGAAGGAAAATAAGGGTGTCAGTATCTAAGATTTGACAGTTGAGAAGATTATAGATTTTAGCCCCCTAAGTTGATTTTGACTCGTAGTGACCCAGTAGGGCAGGGCAGAACGATCCCTTTGGGATTTTGAATCTAAATCTTTATTGGTGACAGCTTCATCTTTCTACCTCACAGCGGCTCATAGGCTTGAACCCAGGCTGCCACCAAGGCTCCTGGGGGTATAGAATGGAGGTCAACAATGCAAATGATGCTTACGGGCCTGATCAGTGAGGCAGGACTAAAATCATGAGGAGAAATACGGACAAGTACTGGGGAGTCAATACCAACAGCCACACTCCAGTAGGTTGTTACATGTGGGAGTGAGGGCTCTGTCCTGCCAGCCTGCTACTGCTGCTTTTTTTTGTGTGTGTGTGGGGGGGGTGGTGAGAGAGTACAGATTTTCAAATTATTCTGATGTTTTTAAAAGTGTGCAACAGTCAAGCTGTTAGCGGCTAGTTAGAGTTTTGTAGGATGCTGCTTTAATGCCTCCAGTCTATGAATTTAATTACCACAGCACAGAGGCCTGCTTTCCCTAGATAAGAAGCAGCAGAGATTGCCCAAGAGGCTCAAACAAATGGGCATCAAGAAAAGTTTTATGTTCAAACACGGATCTTTACGTAACATCCCAGGACATCCTTTTCCCAGCAGTCCTGGAATTTGTCCCTGGAAAATAGTCACTAAAAAGAATTTTGTTTTCTTTGAAGTATTGCCACATACTTGTATGTATGTAGACATTTGAAATTTGAGTTCCCTTTTTCAATTGTTATTATCCTTGATAATGTAGAGTCTGCTTACAGTAACAGAAGTTTCATGTTGGGTGCCTAGTCTTCTTTAAAGCATTAAAACATTTTCCCCTCCAAGTCTCCTTTTGTAATGCCTGCCCCAGGGCCTGATCAGGATTAGCAAGTAAGGATTGGCAAGAGAAAAGTTGTCTGTTGAAATGGAATTATTTTGACTTACTAGTGAAAGGAAAGTTTTCTTTGTGGAATTTTTACGCACTTGAAAGCTTTCTCCTTTTCAACATACTTGTCCACATAAATGTTGATGTAAATTGATTTATTAAATTATTAAAACGTCTCCACTTTCCTACAGTGCTAATCCCATTGTTGTGCTTAGGTGGGTTTTTTTATATTTGGTATTAAGGTTTCTAGGAATTTTCCCTTTTGATTTTATCGGGGTAGGAAAGGGGTGACCCTTTAATTTTAATTTGACTTAGGGGTTTGCTGAGACTTAAGTATTTTCCGGCACAAGATCATCACAACAGCGTGGAGAAAAAGGAGATATGTTAGAGGTTAATTGTGTAGTATATATCAAATACTGTGAATTGTGTAGTGTAAAAGGATTACATTTTTTTCCTTTGTGAATACATCTTTCTACTTTCTGAGGCTTCTACTCTCTGAGATAATATTTGTAAAATTTGGCCGGGGGAGCTGTTAATGTTTTCCATAGGAATAGTGTTCAGGAAAGGGTGCAAACTGAACTACTGAATATTAGGGCCAATTTTAAAGTTATCTGGGGAAGGCTCTGTGGTTCCTCATGTAGAGAGAGACCTTGGTGCTACACAAGCTCACTGCGAAGCAGCCTTACTGCAGGGCCAAATGTAGGATACTCAGCAAGAGCAAGGTTAGGAAGGGACACTAACAGAAAGTGAAACTGGTTCGAGGAATGTTTTTCTATTGCTTCAGTGCAAACGGAAAACAACTTCTCCAGCAAGCAATAATGCTTTGTTATAAAGGAAGTCACCCCCAAATATTTTTATTACTAAATTCAGTGTATCCCAGGATCGCATTGGTGCAGTTTTGTTTATTTTTATAAATTTTTCTGGAGGGAGAGGGTTGCATATTCAAAGAAAAATTTCAGGGAATCGGTATGTTTTATGCAAGGGCTTCTGTTTCATTTCTATTTGGAAAGCGGAAAAGACACTCAAAGCCTTTTCCAACGTGTGTTACCCCTCGTGGCAGCTGGCTATGTTGGCGTTACCATATACCAGTTGGGGATGTAAAAACAGTGGTAGCAGTTCCACTTCTGGATGTTTCTATTGTGACATAGTTTTAACTTCTCGGGTCTCTTAGCTCCTTTAGGAATTGCGGTACAGTCAGAGGGAGCCATCATGGTCACCTCTGAGACTGGAGTCCACCAGGAATTGGCTGTTTCACCTGGAATCAGCTGCGAGGCTGAAGTGCTGCCTGGTGCAAGTCCTTTGTCTCTGCTCAGCTTGGTAACAAGGCCACAGAGTGTTGGGTTTGGTGGAGTCAAAGGGTTAGTAGAGTGATGAATATTTTTATGTTCTAGAAAATCTGCTCCTCCCCCCCACCCCCCACCCCCAGGATGCCTGGAGTGGTGAGAGAGGTGATCCAAGGATTCCAACTTGGTTTTTAAATAAAATTTCCTCCCCAAGGAAGGCATCCTTCCTCTCAAATGCCTATAGTCTGTTGGCTTGTTCTGATTCTAATGTTTTACGTTCTTGTGGGCATCACGTGGTAGACAGAGTCTGGATAGCAAACTGGTTCACTGGATGAGGTTCGGAATCCTTGCTGGCCACCAGGAGAGCTACTGGGAGAGAGATGGATCATGTCGTCTCAGTGCTCAATGAGTTGATCTTACTGGTTGCCTATTAAGAGTGCACGTTTCATGGTGCAAACCTGTTGATAGAAATGATGCTGTAAGTGGATTAGAAGTTCAGTTTTTATTATACCTGGTTCTCAACTATAGAATAAGGTCTTATCTGATAAGAAATGTGGGCCTTTTTATGTCCAGTGTTAATATTGGCAGTTTTTAATAAGGATGGTTTGGTAATCGGAATAATCGTCAGGGATGCTAATTTCTGTTTAGAGTGAATCTTTCCCCCAGACAGTAACTGTTCAGTGGTCAGCTCTGCGTTCCCTGTATGCAGAGAATTTCAGTCTCGGAATCGAGACAGCTGCAGTTACCCTTCATGAGGCGATTTGTCAGGTAGCCTGCAAGAAATGGCATTGTTGGAGAACCTTGTGTTTGCCGGATTAATGAAGCATTTGTTTCTCCATGATTTTTGCCTAGACCTTGCAGGAAGTACGCTTGCCCACTGATGTAATACCTTGAATGGAGATGTGTTTGCTATGCAATAAGGTGGAAGGAAATAATTTTAAAAGATTTCCCTCAATTTTGAACAGACCTCCTTAGCAGGGGTGACCTCCTGCCAGCTTAGCAACTTCTTGGCTAACAAAATGACGCTTGCATTCAACATTTAACAGCTCTTAAAACACACGTGCTTGTTAGTGTCAGCTATGGACAAATTGTAGGTGAAGATTTTTCGTCTGGCTGCCAAGCTGGAAAGTTTGGTGGGAATGAAACACAGACGCTGAAGAGAAGCCTTGGCAGAGCTGGCCAAGCTGGAAGCGATTTGGTGCTGGCGTTCCTGTGGAGCATCTGTGGGCCACTCTGCAGTTCCGCACAGCTCCTTAGTATTTCTGTTAGCCTAAGATGCCCCGGAGGGAGAGCTTTCTGGAAAAAATTGCAAATCCAGTGCACCAGAAGCCAGTGCCCTTCCTTAGCGAATATATATACCCAAGGTGTTTGGGGCTGGCGGTACAGAGCAAGCATACCTTATTGTCTCCTAGAATTGTGTCGAGAGCCTGATGAATCCCACAAGGGTGCTTTCAGTACATGCGTTTTCATTATCAAACATCTTTCTCAGTAGAGGAAAGCAAAAGCTGGCTTGTTCAAGACACAGTTATTTGGTTCTCTCTCCTCCCACCCCCACCTTTTAAATCCGTTTTGGATTTGTAGGTGACTCCGTGCCTCACAGTGCACACTGGGAGTCTGCCCAGTCTTCCTGTCTCAGCTTGGAAATCTTGACCCCGTTGAAAAGGGTCGCCAGCAAGTGAAGACAGTTAACAAGGCAATGCTAAGTCTGGCAGCTGGCCCTCTTTTTGACTTGGGGGTGCATGGCAGGGCCGGGGGACAGTGTTAGCAGGTTGGAAGGATCTCTGGTTTGGGACTGTTTCTCAAACGGAATTCTGTTCGATATGTAAAAGTTTTCCATATGCTCTTTCAAGCCATTATAGGTATTTAGTTCAGAGTTGCCTGGACTTAGACATATTAGTCCTGCATATTTCTAACCTCTTTCGGATGAGAGCAGGAGAGGAGAAAAATACATCCTTACCATTGTCTCGGAGCTTACGAATGGACAGAGTAGGCACGGCAGCTCAGGAATGGACGTGGCAGCGGGGATTAGGCTAAGATTCCACCCTTGTGCTAGTTAAATTGGGCCTGGAACCACCACAGAAATTCCATCCACTGCTTTGAGAAGAGTCCCCAGCCCAGGCTCTCTACCAGGCAGTGGACTGCTGCCTTTCCTTGTGGAGCCAACTTTGCTGACTTGGCTGGCGCCCCAGATGAGAAGCCAAGATTTCTGCCGATGGTCCACAGCCAAGTTCACTTACAATCCTCTAACCGAAAGACTTGTCCATTTGAGTCCTTTCAGGGCTCGGTGAATGAGAAGGGAGTAATGCATTGTGGGGATGATTTTGGTATTAGATTATCCTTCGCTCCACCCCCTCTAGTGCAGGCCGGAGTGAAACCGAGTCCAACTCGATTCTAGCTGTTGGAGATTTGCAGGACTCTCCCAGAAAGAAAACAGACACTTAGAATTGTATTTGTATCAACAACAAGAGGGATTGTGGGTAAGCCTCGGGTGTCATTGCTTCTGTGCACAGCTCTTCAGCTGGGAGGAGGGCCAGAAGTGGGGTGACTGGTAGACAGGAGTAACTTAGGTTGCTGCTGGAGTCCGCAGCTGGGCTCTTAATTTGCATGTAAATAAGCTATCCTGAGGGAGCCTCTGGGCGACTTGGGAAAGACTCGGATGCCATCCCTCACCCTCCTAGGCTCTTTAGTTAGAACCAGTGCAGCTTATCTGCGTAAAGATGACGGTCAGAACAGTAAGGTAGAAAAGGGCTGGACACCAAAATATCTTTAATTCTTTCATATTTTATACTGCTGCTGCTTCCCGCTGCTCTGAGCAGCCATTTTCTTGCTTTTGGAGCGTCAGGTTGTTTTAAGTTTGTTCACTCAGTTTCCCTGTAATGCTGTACATGTCAGGATAGCTCAGCAAACAGCCTGTGGCAAATTCAGACTTGGTTGGGAAAGGTTTTCCAGAGGCCTGGAAAGGAGTTCTCTACTGTGGAGAACCAGGTCATGACGGGCTCCCTGTGTCCGATTCAGCAGAGCTGTGGGTGAGGTGGTGTGCTGAAGGATCGGGAAGGAACTAAAACTACCCAGCTGCTCGGGCCATCTCGTCCTCTGTCCTTACTCAGACTTTGAGGGTGAGATAATTGAGAATCCCTCATCCTTTCATCTCCATAGCCCTTGACTTGAAGGTAGATTTTTGTTGGTGTGTCTTAACTAATGCAGGGCTTCTTCCGAGGCAGCAATTCTCTAAGTTCAGTATTTCTGTGACTTAATGTTAACAATTCCGAGTAACTTGTCTGGATGATTAAAGCTCCCAGGACGTCCCATACATCGGCTTGCCCTTGAGGTAAACTCATGACACTGTGTTCAGGGAAGTTCATTTCCATAACCCCCTACGTGTAGATGTGATTAAGTTCTCACTTCAGGTTAAGTAAGGAACTGTGTTCTGCTTGGAGGAGATGTCTTTTAAAGGGGCAATGAGCCTGGCAGTGGGTGCTCCAGCCCTGTCCTGTCACTGATGCCCCGGGTGAGGGCATTCTGCCGGTTCTGATGGCTGGCAGTCTTCCTCCCTTCTTAGCTGACTGTTCTTTGTGGTCCAAGCAGGCACATAATCAAGATGTTGGTCTGGAAGCATTCCAATCATGCCAAATAACTATGACCTGCCACAGGTGCTTGAAGACATGTGTTCAGAGGGGGGGGGTGTGGGTGTCTCCATCTGTGAACTGTGTCTGCCTGGCACAGGCTGTGTGAAGGGCAGCCCTTGGCAAGATACCACCTTGGATCTGCTTTAAAAAGCAGAAAGTCGGAATGCAGTTGCGGTCTTTATCGGCTCTGTTGTCATGAGCTCAGGTTCATGCATCTGGGCTTTCCTGTGGTCTTCAGTTTCCACCGTATCCCTTGGCCGGAAGACCCTAACCTGACCTTAGGTGGGCTGGAGCTCAGGCAGCCTCGCGGTGATGGGTCTCCCATGGGAAGAAGCGTTGCACTAATGACTTCACTCTTCGTTTGGGGACCCACCGTGGAGATCTTTTTACAGTGGGGGAGATCCCATCCTAGGGAGAGGCCTGCTGGCGCTTTTCCCTGGTCACCCTCCAGCCACAGAGTGGCAGCTGTTCTGTCACATAAGTAAGTTGGGAGAAGGACGGGTGTTGCAGGAGGGTCACAGTTTGTCCCCATGAATAACTTTTCTTTTACTTATGCTTGAACCAGATGCATCGAGCTCCTTTGGATGTTCCTGTTACACGCCTTGCTCATTCCTTCCAACCCCCTCAGCAGAGCCTAGATCTGAAGACTAACTACCCACCTCAATATACCTTCCCAGTTCTGTCGCCAGGGACATCGTTGACCAAATATCCATCCAGGACACACCCCACCTGCCCTGCACCAGTGGTCTTTTCATGTGCTCTTTCTCTCACTCTTGTAGGCTGACAAACGGGCTCATCATAATGCACTGGAGCGAAAACGTAGGGACCACATCAAAGACAGTTTTCACAGTTTGCGGGATTCCGTCCCATCACTCCAAGGAGAGAAGGTGAGTTTACTAGGGGAGCTGATTAGCCACCACTAGCTCAGAACTTGCTCTAGGGCTTTGTCAGGGCCATTCGGATGGCATGCTCCGCTTAGGTGTACATTTTCATACTGCTTTAAGGAGCCTCATGCACCTTACCTGCTTATTTCACCCTTAGTAAAATATGTCTCCTCTGTACAGAGTCATCCTTAGTTAGTTTGGGATAACACTCAGGGGTCCCGAAGTCATAGAGACTCCAAACTTTCTGGGGTTCAAAGTTAGTGTGCATTCTCATTGGAAACTCAGAGGAGAGAGAGTGTTGGTGTGGAAGATTTTCCAGTCCCAAGGGCTGTGGCTTCCAAGGGTGAGCCTGGCAGTGGGTGCTCCAGCCCTGTCCTGTCACTGATGCCCCGGGTGAGGGCATTCTGCCGTTTCTGATGGCTGGCAGTCTTCCTCCTTTCTTAGCTGACTGTTCTTTGTGGTCCAAGCAGGCACATAATCAAGATGTTAGTCTGGAGGCATTCCAATCATGCCAAATAAATATGACCTGCCACAGGTGCTTGAAGACATGTGTTCAGAGGGGGGGTGTGTGGGCGACAAAAGACTTCGTAACAAGGGACATATTCCTGTGAAGTAAAAGAAAACAGGAAGCGTTTTCTCCCCCATTTCCCTATCCACTGGGGCCCTCCAGAAACTAGTGTTTTTCCTGAAGGGTACGTGCCAGCTGTTTCTACATTTGAAAGCAAAGTTTGAAGCTTTGAGTCAAAGTCTATGAGTTAGATTTAGTCCTTGGAATTTGGAGGAAACATCTGTTTGCACAGTTAGTTCCACCCTTGACACAGATTGCAGCTGATCGCTACAGAAATTCCAGTGGAATCATTGGAAAACTGGGAAGAGGACCTGGTCCAGCGATCCAAAGCAGCCATTTGTTAGGAATCCTTTCTCTCAGGTGTGCTCTGGGTGGCTGTCCTGATGTAGCAGTGTGGTGGGGTCATGGGATTTGTTTGGTTGTCCACGATCAAAGTTGGAACCATTATATTTTCATTTTGCTTATACTTGCTACTCTCTGGTCAGTCATGCACTTTATACTTTTATCTAAGGTGTGTCTGGCTGTACATCTGGCTGATGCATGGATTAAGGGGTTTAAAAAAAACACCAACAAACCTTTAAAGAGTGAAAAAAAACAACACCTGACCATGTGAATATAAAGTTTTGAAAAACAGAATTTGCCATGGGCTAGGATGACTTAGTTTGTACGTGACTTAATAACCTTGAACCCAAGACACTTGACCTGGAATAACAACATTCCTCAGTCCAGAACTGTCGAGGTGCCACAGGAAATTGTTATGACGGCCAAAGGGGTACACCCTCTTTTAAGCAAAGTACACACACCTGCAAAGGATCATCTCTTGTGCTGGTCTGACCTCTTACCAGTTGGTGCTTATTCTTGTATCAATTAAAGTCATCTTGGTGAACTAAATGGACAAGAGTTGCCTTTGCCCAAATCTGGCATCTAACCAAGAGTGTTGCCAAGGCCTGTGGACTACCCACATCACAGTCACTACTGAATGAGCCTTTCTGGAGGCAAGCCTGGGAATCTGTATTTCTAACAAGTACTCAGGTGACATTCTTAAGTGTAGAGACTTGGGGAGAGGTGGGCCACAGGAGCTCACCTGTATTTTTTCCTCACACAGCATATTTTGTATTGCTGTAACACTTCCTTAAATCCCTATTAATCACTCCAAAATCATGTTGCCTCCTTTCTTCAAGGAAGTTGAAGGTTTGGATTTGATGGCCTTACACACAGAATGACTTGTCATTTGTTAAGACCCGTTGACTTATTCACTCCATTCCACAAAGAAGAAGCGGACAGAGTCCTGCTGCGTGTGGACACTGTTATAGATACTGGGTATAAAAGTGAGCCGAACAAGCAAGCTCCTTTTCCTGGTGAAGGAAAGCTAGAAAGGGATCTCATTAGTAAGAAGTGCTTATCTGCATGGTGTGTCAGAAATGCCGTGGAGGAAACTGAGCCAGCAAGGGGAGGGCTGCAATTTTAATGCAGGAAGTAAAAAGTATTTCACTAGGAAGATGACGTTTAAGTAAAGATTTGAAGGAAGTAAAGGCAAGAAAATGCATCTGTGGTGAGGAGCAGCAGTCCAGGAGGAGCGAACGCCAAGGGTCCATATTCCTGAGGCAGGTACACGGGCACATTACTGGCTGCTCAGAGAACCAGGGCCAGTCGGTGGGTGGAGGAGTGGAGGGGAAGTGGCAGGCCCACGTTGGGAATTTCCTTGGTGCCATTCTGCTGGTGGAACCCTCCTGTCGTGTGTGACTCTCAGAGCAGCGAGGACGGGAAGAGCCTGTGGCTCTGCTTGAGTCCCAGTCCCTTCCCGTCTGGAGGCCCTGCGCTTTGACAGCCCTGTTTCACAGGTGCGGTGAATTTTAACAGTACTTACTTCCGGGGTCTCTACCTGGTGCTGTTATTTTTTTTAATGTATTTGGACCAAAGGAAATTGACTCATGCTTAGATTGCAGTAATTAAGGTTGGGGGAGGATTATATAAATAATCGAGAAATGAACATTGCCTGTTTTGAATTTGGGGAGCTGCGGACTGATTCTTGTGGGGAAGGCCCCCAGGGTCTCCTGTGACTTAGGCATCCTCATGTTCCCGGTGGCATCTCATGTAGCATTTAGATCAACTGTCATGTTTGCTGAGCCTTTTGTTTTTTAAACGAAACCAACGTTGATTAGATTACATTTTCACCAAGAATAGTGGGGTGGGGTGGGGAGACTTTTGAGTGTTACGACCAAACCCCATTGCCCTGTCCTTCTGTGTGCATGTGACATAAGCTTCCAGAAGAACGATGACCTTGTGCTGAAGCAACGACAGCGAGAGTGGTAGCATCCGTGTTAACCACGCGGGTCAGTCTCCACGGCAGTGCAGCTGGTACAGTTGCGCTGTGTTGGCACAGTGGATAAAGTGTTCAGTGCTTCCTGCTCCCCAGCTGCCCGCTCCTTGGGAGGAAGATGTGACTGTCTGCTTCCTGGCCCCCCATGAGGCAGCTCTCCTCTGCCGCTGTAGGGGTCCCATGAGTTGGAATCAACTCAGCAGCACAGTGGGTTTTGATGTTTATCAGAGAGAGCAGGCCCAGGATCCTGATCCCAGTATATCGGGGACAAGGTCTAGAACTTGGCGCTGCTGATTGCCACCTCCCCCTTCCTGTGCTCCTTCACACTCTTGTCAAGTCAGTTGCCACTCATGGAGCTGATGGGTGTGAGCTGCCTCCCAGGGTTTCTCTTACATCAAGATGAAGGCTGCTCTCCTGAAGGAAGCAGGTGACCACATCTTTCTCCCAGAGTGGCTAGTGGGCCGCCGGGTGCTTAGCCGCTGCATCACTACCCTCTTCACCTTGTTGCTCATTAAGGTTATTACATGGTTAGATTCCAACTGGGCCTTTATTTTTTCCTGACTTATCTGCATTTTAAGTGTTGCCCATCCATTACCTACAGTCCTCCTTGGGCTTGGGGCTCACCATCTACAAATGTATTTCTTTATGCATGGGCTCATAACCCGAGGTCAATCACTGGCATTCCATGTTCTCTACCCAGGTGCCCGACCCGCCCTTGTGCTTTTTCTCCCCCTCACCCCAGTTAATGCTTCAGTTATTATGGAAGGCTCTAGACTATTTCCTCAGGAATGTCTTTCTTTTTCGAAGGCCCAACCCACGCCTGGTGAAGTCCAGACTTCACGTTTAAGTGAGCCTCCCGAGGCTGTCCAAGCCAGTGTGCACTTTGCTGCCTGTGTGTCTTTGTAGTTCTCCCACGCTGGCCCTCCCATCCATGTTTCTGGCTACCTGGCCTTCAAGGCCCACATCAAATCCCAGCACTTCACTGTCCTTTAGCCTTTAACTCCTCTGGCCCTTTGTTGGGACCCTTCTGTGTCTTCCTTATTTTTGTGGTTAACTATTTAACTGAATGATAGGCTGTTGAAGCCAGACACCGTGTTTAGCATTTTGGGGTCCTCTGCAGAACTAGGAGACTCAAACTGGTCTTGCACCTTGAGGTTTGGGAGAATAGGCATGATTGACACAGTGGTTGCATCAGTAGCTCAAACGTCACAATAGAGTGGCGCAAGACTGGGCCGTGTCTTGTTCTGTGGGTACGGAGGGGCTATGTGAGTCAGGACGGACTCACGAGCACCAAACACAGCAGGAGGCCCCCTGAGCTGTCCTTGTCGCATTGGCTTTGCTTCCTCCCTCTAACAAAAATTTAGGACAATAAGAAAAAACATAAGCCGCTCCCCCTGCTAACACGACAATAATTTCCTTCATTATGCGACTCTAAGCAATGCTGCCCATTTGGTCGCCATGTTTAAAAACTTAACAGTAAAATTGCTGCTGACTTTTAAAATTTACAGTAAAGTAACAAAATTAATTTTAATAATAGACATTTTCTTTGACCCAATATTTGAAAATATAATTTCAACACATAAAAATTATTGAGCTGTTACATTCACTTTCCTATTCTAAGTCTTAAAAAAATCTGGCCAGTGTTTCACACTTAGGGCTCCTCTCACCTCAGCGGAGTCACATTGTGCATGCTCAGTCGGCACCTGCGCCTCGCAGCTACCAGGAGACCAGGAGCCCGTGCAGTTCAAAGACATAATCTCCCCACACTCATCTTAATGAGACTGAACTTTGTTACCAACTTAAAGTGGATGTGAGAATCACTCCCACTTTTCCCCACTCCCCAAAGCTGCTTTTTAAAAGTATGACGTCTGAGTAGCAAGACAGTGTTAACCTATCAATTACTGTGCTCCTCTGGTCTCCTGTGCATGCTGACACGGGTAAAATGCTCACTTGCTGTTTTCATACAGTGTGTTCTCCCCACTTGATAGTGCTCATATTTGCCCGTTAAGCACTGGTCTACGGGATGTGTTAGTTGCTTGCAGTCTTCTGTTGTGTGGCTGCGGTGGTGCTGAGCATCTTGGTGTCTGTGGTTATTTCCATAGAGCAGAGTCCCGT